AAATTGCGGTAAGAATATAGAGTGCAATAAGAGAACCGTCTATCAACCACACAGGCAAATATTGTTTTACTTGTAGTTGTGACAAAATCTATTAAAGTTCGTTGACTTGAATATATCTTTGAGCTCTTAAGTCGCAAAAGTGCAATGCAATCACAATGTCAATATTTCATCGCAATATTATTATTCACAATATAGAAATGTGGGATGATATTGAATGCACGAAAAAAAAAGTACATTTGTCAATTTAACATTTGTATTATGTGAAAGCTTCAAAAACAATTGGTCTATGTTCTTTCTCCTAATCCAGAACCGAACAACTGTGAAATGCTACACAAATATCCATCGTCCAAGACAAACATAAAAGGTAGCAGAATTTATCAACAAATGTCATTATACAAGATACTAAAGTAAAACATTATGCATACTGACGAATATCAAATTGTGAACTGTCAAATCTTATTCCAGTACAGCATTCGACGGGTGCCACGAGGTCTCTTCTTATAAAATCCGTAAAATGATTTTTCCTGGCGCAGCTTGCTGATGAGCCTCCAGCGTATAAATCAATTCTAGTTAATATTTGAAAAGCGTTTTTTCCCTATGTTTTTTTTTCACGGGGTTCTTTGAAATTAATGAATATGTGTGTGTCGCGGTATGATGAACTTTCCTCGTGAACATAAAACGAGAATTTAGAAGCTTTTTTATTTGTGTACTTTTTAATGTACGTTATTCAACATTGCCCCATGTGATCGTCCAGAATGAAATATTCGACAGAGCAAACACAAACCTCTCCAGTTTTCTCAACTCAAGGACAGATTTCTGTGTTCTGTGTGGATAATTTAAAAATAGAATTGATAGCCACTCGTAACACTTCTTGCCCTTAAACCATTTTGATATTTTTTAAACTCCAGACCACTCCATCACATCGTCACTGTTAAAGTCAAGTAATATGTCCGCTGATATTTGAATCATCCTTTTTTATCTCAAAATCTTCTCATGAGATTTTACCAATAAGGAACAGAGGGATTATCAGTCTGTCTAATGTTTTCTGATAATCAATTTAGAAATACTTATGAAACCCCATTGCGATACAAACCAGACATAAATTGCTCATAAACAGTAATTATTATTAATAATAATAGTGAGTTCTTTTACTGCTCACAGGTCATTTAAAGTTAATGCTCAAGGCGCATTCAGCTCTCCGCTTATCACAAGATAAAAAACACAGATAATGTTAACAACTAATAAGCAGTCGAAAAAACAATGAGTCTTTAATTGCTTCTTAAAACAGCTAAGCGATTGTGAATTCTTTAATGTCAAGTGTAATGAATTCCATGGGTTAGGTACAGTGTATGAGAAGCATCTATAGACCAGGAGCACAGGGGGTCAACCTAGCTGAAAAGTGTACCAATTTTCTCCTATATGGTATCAATGTATGTATATCTGGTATCATCAGAATGTAAGTCTGCCGGGTTTCTGGTGGTGGGTGTGGTATTCCACGCCCTAATTGTCAGACCCCCAACAAGGCTAGATTAGCTCAAAAGTGTACCAAATGAAAATCGTACAGCAGTGTACCATACATCTTCAGGTATTACAAAAACACCCTGACAGACATGTCTAGTGGTGGGGTACCCCTGACAGAGATATGTAATTGCCAGATATTTGTAGTGGTGGAGCATCCCTGACAAGAGTTATCTAATATTTAGACCAAAGCTAGGCTAGATTAGCTGAAATCTGTACCACCTAAAACAGCTTTGGAGTTGTTCAGTACCACCACAGGAATCATGAATGACCACTGCCGGCAGTTTGTGCGGTGGGTTACCCCTAACAGACACGCCCCAAAATGCCACGCCCCCAACTAGGCTAGGTTAGCAGGCACTGTTCCCGTGTTCTAAAAAATTAGATTTTTAGCCAGGATGAGTAGGATACTACTAATAAGAGGCGATAAACTGCGCAAAAAACATATTATGGGGCTAAAAATGCGTTTTTGAAAAATAAAATTGTTCCTACAACGGCAGTTTATCGCCTCTTCCATATGTGCTAGGTATTAGTATTCTACGCATCCTGGCACAATTTTTAATTTTTTGGACCACAGGAACAGTGCTGACTAATCTATCCTAGTTGGGGGTCGTGTTATTTTGGGATAAACCCACCGCACAAACTGTCTGGCAGTGGTCATTCATGATTACTGTGGTGGTACTGAACAACTCCAAAGCTGTTTTAGGTGGTACAGATTTGCGCTAATCTAGCCTAGCTGTGGTCTGGAAATTAGATAACTCTTGTCAGGGATACTCCATCACTACAAATGTCTGGCAATTAAATAGCTCTGTCAGGGGTACCCCACCACTAGAAATGTCTGTCAAGGTGTTTTTGTAATACCTGAAGATGTATGGTACACTGCTGTACGATTTTCATTTGGTACACTTTTGAGCTAATCTAGCCTTGTTGGGGGTCATGACAATTAGGGCGTGGAATACCACACCCACCACCAGAAACCCGGCAGACTTACATTCTGATGATACCAGATATACATATATTGATACCATATAGGAGAAAATTGGCACACTTTTCAGCTAGGTTAACCCCCGGGCCTCCCGCTCTACTATGACCGAATGTCTTAAGTCTATAGTTGGGTACCACCAGACGTAGTTTGTGTTCGGACATATGATTTCTTTGGGGGGGGGGGGGACATAATCAATTAGCATAGTTTGAACATAATTCTGCTTTCCACCCGAAACCAATGTAAATGTAGCTTTGAATATATACGGTAGACTTGTAGCATTGCACATACTCAGTCTCGACCTAATTAACAAAATGTGGCCCTAAGATGTTTTTGTCATTGAAAGTGACATATAAACCCAACACACCTAAAATATCTATCCCCCCATCTTAAGGTTAGTGAAGATTACCACAAATGAGATGCGCTGTTGAAAGCAGAAGGCTGCAACATGCCTAATAAATTAAAGATGGGTTGCCAGGCAACAAAACATATGTCCACAGCAGCTAAGTCGTCCAGGTAGTCAACAAGGGTTGTGGCATATTGTTTTCTATGTCAGAAATGAAACATTTACAACACACTAGTTCTACCCTATTCTAACAATTAGCATACAAAACATTTAATATCAATTGCCATAATCATTGGAAATCAATGAAAATTGAATGGCTTCTTCATCTCATGACCTTAAACACTGTATCAAACAAGCCAACAGTGAGGCTGATGTCCCCCGCCGAAATAGGAAAATAATTAGAGGACACATATAAAAATCAAATTGCGTATCGCTCTGCTTACCCTGAGCAGAAAATGCTCATTATCAAACTTAGTCAAGGTATTACTGTAATGAAACTATACACCAAGTTTCATCAATCTCACTTAATTAGAACTAAAGTTATCGTGTCCCAAAGCATCAACCAATCAAATTGCTTATCTCTGCTTACCCTTAGCGGAAAATGCTCATCTTCGAACTCCATCAAGGCATTGACCTAATCAACACATACACCAAGTTTGAACATTCTAGCCCAATTAGGAAGAGAGTTATCGTGTCCCAAAGCATCAACCAATCAAATTGCTTATCTCTGCTTACCCTAAGTGGAAAATGCTCATCTTCGAACTCCATCAAGGCATTGACCTAATAAACACATACACCAAGTTTGAACATTCTAGCTCAATTAGGAAGAGAGTTATTGTGTCCCAAAAAGTGTGACGGACAGACAGACGGACAGACAGACGGACGAACCCATTTTAATAGTCCCCTGCTTTCTTCGAAAGGCGGGGGACAATATAAAGTAAATCAGATATTAACTTTAGCCTCTAAAGCATCCACAAAATTTTTCAAAGTGATCAAGAGCCATAACTATGGCAGTAATTATTGGAAATCGTTGAAAATTAGGTTTCTTCATCTCATGACCTTAAACACTGTGTAAATCATTCAAAATCAACAGGATTCTTCATCTCATGACCTTAAACACTGTGTCAATTGGATATTAACTTTTTCAAAGTGATCAAGGGCCATAACTCAGATAGTAATTATCGGAAATCAACAGGGTCCTTCTTCTCATGACCTTAAACACTATGCAGAAATATATAAAGTCAATTGGATATTAACTTTAGCATCTAGAGGGTCCACAAGATTTTTCAAAGTAATCAATGGCCATAACTCTGGCAGTAATCATCGGAAATTGTTGAAAATCAGTAGGCTTCTTCGTCTTATGACCTTAAACACTGCGTATAAGTCAATCGAATATTAATTTTTGAGTCTAGAGCATCCACAAGATATTTCAAAGTAATCAAGGGCTATAACTCTGGCAGTAATTATCTGAAATCATTAAAAACCAATAAGTTTCTTCGTCTCATGACCTTAAACACTGTGCATAATGTGAAGTCAATCAGATATTAACTATAGCGTCCACAAGATATTTCAAAGTCATCAGGGGCCATAACTCTAAAAACGAATCGAAAAGAAAATCATTTTGATTATAAAGATCCGAATATATAAATAATTAGAGTCGGTTCAGAATCGATCACTTCTAACTCTTACTTCGCTTTCCTAATTATCCGGGACTTGCTCTGTTAATGCCTTAAAGTAATGGGATCATAACCGAGAGAGAGAGAGAGAAATGGGGTTTAATGTCCACTCGACACAAACTAGGTCATTTCGGGGCTAACATATGGTTTAATTTTATTTCAATAATTCGCTTGCGCGTAGGGGTCTTTAGTAGTGGGAGGAAACCAGAGGACCCGGATAAAACCCACGAGGTTGTCACGTACAACCGGGGATTCGAAACCACGCCAGTCGACTCAATGACAGACTTTATGATACAACGCGCGCACGCTAACCATTCAGCCATCCAACCTCCTGGATCATAACCGAACACTTCAAATTCTTGCATCGCTATCCTTATTGACAGGACCTTATTGCTGGTGAGGTACTATTAAATGGGGAAATGGTACAAAGAAATCCTTTTTTTTTTGGTATATAAATACTTATTAACTAAGAGACGACATATTTTCAAAAGATTGATTCGTTTAATTCAAAGAACTAAAAAAAAAAACGTTGCAACATTTCATTGTACAAAATATGTTTTTCTTTATATGGTTGTTTAGATTCAAAACAGACATAAAATACAATTAAAGACTCAAGCCTGGATTATACATCTTTGAGATCATACAATTATATAACAGGAATTGAAGTTAAAATACATTCTAATGTACAATTGCCAATGCTTTATGCTAGTACAATGTATGTTCAGATACAGCCTATACCCAAATATTGGGTGCACATTCAAAGCACAGGTTTAGTTTAACAAGAATGGTTTTGCTTTAGCTCAATTTAAAATTCGAAAATTAATTATGATTCTTAGTAATAAAATACAGATTTTTTGACAGACATCGAACAAGTTGACCTGCAAGATTGTGATGCGTCCATAAGAGTTAACATTCTTAGTACCCCATAGCTGTAATGCAGCACTTTGCAATGGGGTCAGGTAATAATTTTAATGCTAATGATTGTCTAGTGACACAGAATTATACAGAATAACAAAAGCCAGTTTAAAATTACAAAAACTTTATATTTATGGTCTGTAGAACCTGCACAAATTGTGGATGAACGTACAGACATACCAACGAAGGCAACAATATACAACTATATGATCTCAACTTAAAGATGCATTATGTAATAGCCAATTCTACCTATTTTGTGTCTTTCCTTTGGCCTCAAATGTTATACAGATAATTACATATTTATTGACAAGACAAGCCTATAATAAGCTCTCTTGAACATAAGATGGTCGTGATGTTCAATGGATTAAAACACGATCGCCACTTCATAAATTAATTTAAAATTGGATAATCGAGACTGCTTTTTATCAGAACAGTAGTACTTGACAACCAAGACTATATTGTGAACACTTCCAAGCCTGACATCTTCCTTTAGAAACGAGTAATCTAACTGAAATTTTCAAATCATTTTTCATTACCCTTTTTTTTTAAAAAGTATTATAGCAGAATGGCCAACTCTTTATCGAAACCTTACATAATGCATCTTTATTTGAATACCATATACGAAATTTAACGCATTTACAATGTACTATTCCTGTTGGTAAGAACACAAAACAAAACTGTCTAGAGGAATTGTTGCAACGTGTTTTCGGAATATCTAACTGAATATAGTAAATATCTGTATGATGCCATCTTACTTACAAATAGTATATGCCCTAGAGACAAGTCTATGCGCCAACGTATTATATTGGGATTGAGATGACATCTATAAGCCTGCTAGAAAATTCTAAATAGCAAAGACTTTCATAAAATATTCATTCTTTGTATTCTCTTTTGGCAACTAAATACCAAAAACTGGAGACACCTCCGGCTTCAAATATCTGTCTAGGGATTTCTCTTAAAACAGTCACTAAGACGTAGGTTGTTACATTGCCAAGACATGTGTTTAATTTATAAAAAAGACACACTGATCAGGTTTACCAGAAAGTAACTTTATCAACTGAAGCCTCCATATTCCCAGATCAGGCCTCTTACTTGGTACCAACGAATGGGCATCATATATGACGTTTAGGACATAATTTTAATGGGGCCCATAAACTTGTCCAAATTGTTCTGTGGTTCAAGGGTGCAATATAATAATAGTGAAGAGAAATATTTAAAAAAAAAATCCTTATTACATGTAGGTATATATTATAAATAATATATATTCTAACGAATATAATACTAATAAAACCCAATTCTTTTTACATGCACAATTGCACATCAAAAACTATAATTGCATAAATAGCTTTAGTCGAAACTAAATAATATGTTGTATTATAATATATTGAAAGGCTATAATATATCTTTATAGAACCATACATACTTTTATTTACAAATTCACAATCAAGCTTTAGACACCACTTGTCTACATAATAAATAATGAAGAACATATATTGTATGATTTAAAAAAAAAAAAAATAAGACATAAAACTAATTTAGTTTATAGACTACCATAAATAAATATAAATATATTGTTATGTTAACAATTTCTCTTCATAACAATTCCTTCTATATCTTATAAAATTCTCACTATGTCTTATGAAGATTTATATATAATTTCTATCATATAGTTGACATTATTCAATCCTCTTATTCTATGACCCTTCTCATAAACGTCATCTCTTATTACCTTATTATCATTATCACAGGTCCTTTTTCTTCAATAGATATGTATATTCAGTAAATATTCTTTTGTTGGGTTTCTATTATTATTACCAAATAAAGATATATTGACAAATCTACTGTTTTATTCCATATTTGTTGTGAAGGAGACAAATATCTTATTAACTAAGATTAATTTTGGTATAGGGCCCAAAAAATTATTCAAATTTGCTTTAAAGTAAAAATTTCTGAACATGGCCTTTATACTACATGTTGAAAAAAAATTGTGATGTTAGGAACAAGGTTTACTTATTACACAAAATTTAAATGAGCTTAAACCTCTTTGAATGGGTTGATCTGACATTGTATTTCATTTAGTGATGGGACAATTAAATTTCTAGTTTTCCATAAAGTTATTAGGCACAATATAGCCCAGTTGGTGCTGACATGTCATTAAACATCAGTTCATTCATACGATAAAATTAAGTGAAAGTTGTTTTTTTGTTAATTTTAGTTTTGTTTTCGGTTTAAACTGTCAACAGTGGAACACAAATTCATTTATATTTCAACACTTTCTTTACTCTGGGCCTAAAATTTCCAATGTAGGCAGATACCTACTTCACAAAGCAAATTAACACATCAAAACTAATTAACACTAATTAATCATTCAAATCAAAGAGGTCTAATCATTTCAAATCAAATTTCCTTAGCTTCAAAAAATATACAAATACTATATTAAAACAAATATTCAAATACAATATAATTTAAACAAAAAAAACCCCAAAACTCATACACATACATACAGGTAATCTTTTGATTAATAACAAAAAAAACCCTAAAAAATAACTTTGGCTTGGAGCTAAATGACAGAACTTGTGATTTATCCAGGAATTTCCTTATCCCCAAATATTACATCATTCAATTAAATTGAACACGTGCACCAATATGTATTGGACTTCAATACAATTCATCTTTTGATTTTCGTAGCATAAATAAAGCACCCCTTTTTCCAGTTCCAATTTTGAATGTTCAGCATTGAAACTTCACATTTTGGAAAGTCCAATAAACCGCCTTCTTTACAATTTTAACTGTTGACATAGCACATTAGGGTATGAGTATACAACTAGTATTTACAACTAAAGATAATGAAGCAATTTATTGTTCGATTTTAACACAATAGTTTTTTATTTTTAACAGGGGGGTTGGATGGCTGAATGGTTAGCTCATGCGCGCTGTATCATAAAGTCTGTCATTGAGTCAACTGGCGTGGTTTTGATTCCCCAGTTGTACACGACAAGGAGTAGGGTCGCCTGTCCAACCTCGTGGGTTTTTCTCTGGGTCGTCCGGTTTCCTCCCACTGTTAAAGACTCTTACGCGCAAGCAAATTATGGAAATAAAATTGAACCATATGTTAGTCCCAAAATGACTTAGTTTGTGTCAAGTGGAGGTTAAACCCTCTCTCTCTCTTATTTTTAACACCATTGAGAGGCTGTTTAAGTAAATCAATCTTGAACTTTGAAAAAATTTATCAGGATTGGCAAATTCTAAAGAGAAGCAGATTTATATTTATCCATAAAATGTCTACAGCCATAGAAGTCCACTGAAACTTGCCTGGTACAATCACCAAAAATATGATAGATCCTCCTGGTCATATCAAGCAATAAGTATTAAAGGGAGATAACAAGGTTATTGGATGGGACTAGCTCACCGTTCACAGACAAATAACAATGGTTTATATCCAAAAAGATTAAATCTCAAAAGAATTAAGAGAACTTAAAACCTTAAGCAGTGGACACATTAGCCAAATCATTCCACTGAATCCATCGGTGCCAAATTGCAGCCGAATGAGTGGACACACCAGCTTTCACCCGATCCACCAGTTGATTGCATCACCTTTCACGTCACATGATTAAACAAGGCAGCGACCATGTTTTCAATCATGTGACTTCTGGATATAAGTGGTGACTGGCAATCGGGCGAAAGCTTCGGCAAAGCAGACACACTAGGTGAATGTAATTCGGTTGAATATGTTTGATTCTGGTGAATCATTCGGCCGAATAACAGTGGACAAACTAGACGAATTTCAACGCCGATTGATTCAGCCAAATCATTCTGCTAGTGTGTCCACCACTTTAATCTACAGCATAGCAATTAACAATGTGAACCAGTTAACTGTTCATGGTCCAATTGGTTTTAAGAGATTTAGTTCTGCTAAATTGAAAAATAATTAAGATTAAGTAATCTAAATCAGTAAAAGTGCAGACTTTAAGATAAATCTGAATAATATAGTGTAAATACAGATACATACATGTAGTGGATCTATAATACATGTGTATAAAATAGCTGGGACTAAAAATACCAGCTTTCAAAAGGCTGTAATACTATTATTAGATCTTTATACTGTATGTGCATTCAATACTACTACTAGTAAGTACTAGTCTATAGCTACTGCATAGTTAGTTATAATAGTTCATCTTAAATGTTCATGCCATTATTACACCATATATAATACACTATTTGAGGTAATGTACAAATTATGGCTATACTGCAATCTAATACAAATCTGATCTTTATTTTATTTTGTTTTTAAGTTTGGTGAGTTGGCCTACACTACATCAAGTTATAACTACTTCTTTGTGAATTCTCTGTTCTTTTCAAAGCTAATTTGTGATTGGCTAAAATCATTCTTGGCTAGGTTAGGTCAATTGAATACAAACGTCTTAAAGATGTTAGACCTTAATGTAAAGGTGAAAAAATGCACAAACAAAAAACCTTAGGCAACCTTAGGCAAGGCAACATTGTAAAAACCATGCTGAAGTTACAACATATTAGCCATAAAAGTATGTTTGATTTCTATCTCAATACTCGTGTCAGTATCTTGATATAAATGTAGGCTCATATATCCAGAGCTGTTGATCAAACAAAATCTGTTATATCAAATGTCAATCAACAGATTGAAAATAACACTCTTGATTAAACAACATACATGTACAATTCACCACAAATAAAACTCAATATTGTATAAAAGATGAGTAATCATACATTTCTCATACATGTATACAGTCTTCATTTGTTTCTTATAAGTTATTTTGGTGGTTCAGTGGAGATAAAATTATTCTTTATATTACTTCCATAAAAAGTGTATTATTTATGATGATAAATCTATTGCTAGGTGTCAAACTGAATAAAACACAGACCTGATACCAAATTGTACCTTCCGGACGGGTGACAAAATATGCACCAGCTAAATAAATCTTCACCAATCAACATGTTGATTGTGTTTGTTATGATGCTCTCACCCCATATTAGTTATGGGGACTGACAACTCCATAACATGGCACTCAATTGTATTTCTATGAACCCAAAAGATTTGGAACTGACAATTGAGTATCTCCATGCAGAACAGTTAGAAATAAACTAATACTTTTGGTTCATCGCTCATTTATAAATCAAAATGTATATTATACACAGTTTACAATATTATATACACTTTTACTGTACACAATTACTCTTGTGTATATTATACAAAGTGTACAATATTATATACGCACCACTACTGTGCACATTTACAAGATAGTGTATATTATACTCAGTGTACTATATTATATACACACCACTACTGCGCACATTTACTGTGTACAATATTACCTATACATCCTGATTGTACACATTCACTCTAGATAGTGTATATTATACACAGTGTACTATATATACATGTCTCTATTGTACACATTTACTCAAGATAGTGCACAACATTACAATACACCTCTACTGTACACATTTACTCTTGTGTACATGTATATCATACACAGTATGCAAATTGCAATATTATATACACCTCTACTGTACATTTACACATTTACTCTTGTGTATATTATACACAGTGTACAATGTTATATAGACTTCTAAAATACACATGATTTACTCTAGTGTATATTATATATACACTTCTATACACATTTACTGAATATACTCTAATGTATATATTAATTATACACTGTGTACAATATTATTATAAATACATTTTTACTGTACACATTTACATTAATGTAATGTTACCCCTTTTAAAGTGAATAATTTAGAAAAATTTCATGGTCTCATACTTTGAATGTAAAAAGTACCATTGTGAACTAAAACTCTTTCAATGTCAGGATTGGTGGCGAATATTTCCTTAAAACTACCCTGTAAATTGAAAATGAGAGTCACTGATCGTCATTTGCATTTTTTGGACAATACTGTATCACATTTTTAAAGGCTATATCCATTGTAATATGTACTCAAATTGATTATTTAACAATTATGAAAACAAATTACAAATGGTAGACTACATTGTAGGTTGGATTTAATTGGATATAAGAGGCTGAACAAAAGATTTTAGCAAAGATTAAAAGCTGGCTTGTTTCGACTATGTCATTTATATCATCTGCTGAAAGTTGACAAACTTTATATTCATCATATCTTTGTAAATACTGAAAGGAATTGAGCCATATTTGGATTGAAATGTCTTTCAGAGATTCAACTTTTACATTATTGTACATGTAGTTTGAAAGGAATTAAAATCCATCAAATGACGATTAGAGAGTTTAATCTTGTTTTGTAATATGAATAAAAGATCAACCGTCTTCATTAGCCCAGCAGAACAGCAGGACATTAAACCCCATTTGATTTCTTTTCTATATATCATTTTAACTGATGTCATAGTAATGCTTTCTGATCAATACAAATTCAATATTTTTATACTTTGGACAAAAGTTATTTTTTATGGTTTTATATCCATATAAGGACCGGTGTGATAAATAGTGATTGTGGATCATTCTACATGTATCACACTATTTGAACACATTTGTGGAAAAAAAATGAGTGCTGAACTACACGGATTCACTGTCTGCTGGAAATTCACACTTTGTTTTTAATAGAGATCTATACTGTAATTTTCATATTAATACTATTAATTGTATACAAAGCTTTTATTACAGCTCACTTAAGTTAGACCTAACTAAATGTATGTGAAGGTTATGTATAAACATGTATACTGTATGCCTCCAAGTTTATTTTCTTATACAAAAACACATTCACTTTGCAAATAAATAATTAAAATACATATATGCAGCATTTACATGTATTTAAACGTGAATGTGTGCAGAAAAGGACTGAAGTATAAACATTGAAACCAATGTTTTGATAATTCTACTAAATCTGAATCTACGAAAAAACAATGCTACCTGATATTATGACAAGCCTTATATAGGTATGACTATAACAACAATGTCTAAATTGTACATGCATGATCAACTCTAAAAATGAAACGACAGAATTTTTGCAGTGTGGAGTTAAAACTAAAATCTAAAATCACATGATGTGCACCAAGTCCGTTTCATCGAGGTAATCAATGATGAATGTTTCAATAAAATAATATCACAATTTAACTTTCATATAAATAAATGCAGGACATGTATATTGCATAATAAAGCTAGGGACAAAATAATTGGGTATTTCAATATAATGGGTCCTACATTGTAGTTACATGAAATGTACATTGTACACTCCAAATTAACTTATAATTAACAGACTACATAATGATTCTGGAATAAGACCACTGATTGACAAAATGTTTAAAACCAGCTTTCTAGTGAAACAAGTAAAAAACAGAATGGATAAAAAAATCTTGGATTCAGTTGGATCCAACATAATAACAGTCAGACTGACCTAAATTATTTACTATACTATACATGTATGTCGACTTTTCAAGTGTTATGTGCATACATGTATGTTACAGATTAGACAGTAGCAAGAGTAAAAGCCTAAATCAAAATCAAAAAGATGATGTTCATACATGTAGTCAACTCCCCAGATGATTGGATGGCTGAGATTTAAACAAATTAAAACAGGGTCGCTATTTAATGATTTAATTTAAAAATGGTGAATCGAGGCTCAGTCTCAAATAACAAGTATTGTTGTTACAATAAATAGAGAATCTCCTACTAGTCTGTTTTTTTATATCAAAAAATATCAACACAAGCCGATACAAATTTTTTAAAACTTTATTGATGAGTGTTGAGATTTTTTGATATCAAATAAGACGAGTAGGAGATTTTATTTATCACCCAAACCTTTCTTGCTCACACAAATAAATAATATAATTCTTTGGTATAGATTTAATTTTACTGAACTCGATTACATTACGGCGTAGTGATACATCATTTTTTGACAACAAGTCACCCGTTGCAAAGTTCTATATATTGACACAGTATTTCCTTTAAGGTTATGGGGAGTATTGTAATTGTTTATGGTAATTGAGAACTTTTCTCAAACAATATTACTGGATCCAAAAAGTAGTTCCTTTTTTAATAAAACAAGCAGTTGCCAGACAAGATATGCCCACATTTTGCAAGAGATGGATAGAGAACAGGATAAAAACAAAAGCGTTTTTTCGTACAATCAGGGGCGATAATCCAGAAAGTCTGAAATGCACAAATATCGAAAGGGACTGAGATCTTTGAGATATAACAATATATTTTAAGTTTCATCAAAATCAGATAAAAATTGTGACCCCTAGAGGTCCCCAAATCCTTGTACTAAATACTCCTACACAATTTGCATACAAAGAGCGTCCATTTTAGTTTCGATTTTCCTGAAATTCGAATTCAACCTTCATTATGGTGGAATGGTGATATATTTAAACAGGTTTTAAAATCAGATAAAAATTGTGACCTCTAGAGAATCTACAAGCTAAAAAACATGCTTTTTCATACAATTAGGGGCCATAATTCAGGAAGTTAAAGATTGATATATACTAACGTCAAAAGGAACCAAGATCTTTGGGTTATAAACATACATTTCAAGTTTCATCACAATCGGATCAAAATTGAGGCCTCTAGAGGGTCCTCAACCTTGGTATACCATATTTTTACACTATTAGTATTTGTGTACGTAGGGCAGTCATTTTGTCTGGCAGTTTTGGTCCGATTTTCACAAAATTTGAACTCAACTGACATTATGGTGTAATGGTGACATATTCAAACGTTTTTTTTTAAACTGGATAATAATTGTCACCTCTAGAGGAACCACAAGCTAAAAACGAGATTTTTCTTACAATCAGGGGCCATAATTCAGGAAGTTACGATTTGATAGGCACGAATATCGAAAGGAACCAAAATATTTGAATTATAACCATGTATATCAAGTTCAATCAAAATCAGATGAAAATTGTGACCTCTATATATAGAGTGTCCACAAGCTATCAGAGGCCATAATCCATGAAGTTATGGCTCGATACATGCCCATATCAAAAGGAATCGAGAACTTTGGGAGATAGAGCTATTTTTCACGTTTTGTCAAAATCGAATAAAAATTGTGACCTGTTCAGTGTCTACGAACAAATTGTGGACGGACAAACGGATGAAAATATGGGCATATAAAAAAGTAGTTCCTTTTTAATTGACCAATTTAATTGAATAAAGTAATTTGAATGAAATTTCCAATATATTCATTTGGCATTATCCGTATTTGAACTATTATAGCAAGAACAACCAGCTCTTATCTAAACCTTACATAATGCATCTTTAACATTTTCAAATCTTAAAATGTAATTTATGTAATAGTGAATCATGATTACTAATTACTTGATAGGCATACTGTTATCAAATTTCCAGAAATGTACGAACAAAAGGATGCGTTAGTACCTTTTTATGTCAATCAATAAAAAAACAGATTTATACTGTATGAACATCATCTTCTAGACAAAGAATCAGAAAAATATCTCAATTATAATAAAGGATAGCAATTGAATAAATAATATATTATGGAAATAGAGTATAATAGTTGATAGATAGTTGTCACACTACAACATGGCTGAACTGTAAGCTAGTACTGTACATGTATATTACTCCATAACCTAAAACAAAAAAAATACAAACGTTTGATAAATAATATTTATATAAAAATGTATGATACCCTAGTACATGTATGATCTTATACTTCTACATGTATGTGTAGCTTGAATTCAGTATAACAAAACTACACATGTATGTCAATGTACATGTAAGCTTACATGTACATAATATATGTAGATTATGCTTCCACACTCAACCCAAGAAATACATGTAGCTATCAATGGTCAGTAACATTGTAATACAATAAGCAATATTTATATCATGAATGCTACAAAAGTCACAGTATGTAATTCCCAGTAAATGTGTCAGTAGGTTAAAGATTAGCAAGACAATTCGGCTACCAGTATGGTTGTTGATAATCAATCCTTTTTCCTGATTTAGTGATTATAGTTTGTTAAAATACTTACATTAGTCTATTTATATCTATACTTTTTAACACAATCATTGCCCAAATCTACTACGACAATGTAAAAATTTGGCAAAACTGCTATTCCACTTGGTCTTTTTAACTTATCAGCATTGCTGTCTATACAATATTGTAATTTACCACTTGAATTCATCACCTGTAGATTAAATATCAAAGTAGAATAATATAAATGTAAATAGACACAGCACTGATGGTAGCTAGGTGGTTAAGACGCTGGCTCGCTAGCCTGGAGGTCGGGTGTTCGATCACTGCATTGGCCGAGAAAGTTCATCTGGTTTTTCCGACTTGGTTTCCATTTGTCAGTGGTGCAGAACGGAGGGCCTGACAAGGACAGCTGTCTAGTCCTTCGGATGAGACGAAAAACCGAGGTCCCGTGTATACATTAGAATGCACGTAAAAGATCCCTTGGCAGTTGGTATTCGATATAAGAGTAGGCGATAGTGCCGCTGCCCGGGCAAAATTTCCCTCATAGCACACTGTATGGCGTATGCCTGTCTTCATTAGCCCAGTATAGGAGCAGAACAGTAGGAGGTTAAACCTCATTTTATTTCATTTCATATTTCTAAGAAGAATCAAATCCAATGAAGACTCAAGGGAGATAACTCTCATTTCTAATATCTTAGAAAGAGTTGCCTAATCCCTAGAACAAAGAAATGAAATTGGGTTTCACATCCTACTGTTCTGCTTTGACTGGGATAATGAAGACGGGCATACACCATACAGTGTGCTATGAGGGAAATTTTGTCAGAACAGCAGCACTATGGCCTATTCTTATATCGAATTCCAAATTCCAAATACCAAGGGATCTTTTATGTGCAAGCCAATGTGTACATCAGACCTCGTTTTTTTTTTTGTCCCATCCACACAACTCTACGTTACTCTTGCCAGGCCCTTTTTGTCCTGCACCACTGACAAGGAGGAGTCACACCGGAAAATGTAAAGAGAAAGCTTATTAAATTTTAAATCAACATGATTACCAGATTATAAAAATAAATCAGTCTATGGGCAAAGCTGTAATCTTATTGCATATACAATGTATATATGGTCTTTATTCAAAAGATAGTTTATACCTAATTCCTCTTCTTATTTTAGTCAGTTACATGTAGAGCATTTAGTAGTTTGCCCTGGAGTCATGCAAGGATTATTGAAATGAGAAATAATATCTCCTATAGATGTGTACATGTACAAATACTTTCTGAGTTAAATGTTCCATAATTATGCAGTATGTCTGAATAGGAATTCAAATAAACTGTAAACTAGAAACTACCAGAATTTATCAAGGAATGCCAAGCACCTGAACATATACCTGCTGAAATAGCTGCTAATTGTATAAATCAGAGGTCAAACACGATCTGCCTTGATTTTGTTCTGTCGAGTTCGTGCTTCCGGTCATTAGAAATAGAAAGATCTCTGTTTTCTGAACAATTTGATACCAATTTCATGTAAGTAGGGTTACTAGGGGCGAAGTTATGGATTTTAAAGGTCAACCGAAAAAGAGCAAATTTTGGGATGCCCCTGAAGGGGCCCCAGCGCTAAAATTTTGCACATCACGTTCTTTCGTCATGGTTAACTTGCACACCAAAAATCATCAAAATCTGTGATGGTCATGTCAAAATCTCCCGAATTTTGTGTACACTTGACATGGAATGCCCCATAATGGACATGTAACAGCATATCCTTTATAATACTAAGACAAGTAAAAAATATTTTATGAGGTCACAGTTGCATACTCTCTTTTATGATTGATTTATACTAAAAATATATACATGTAATGGACTCACCTGAATATAACACTTTCCCTTCTCTGTTTTCGTGGCCAGGATAAGTCCACTGGTATCTACAGCTATACCGCCATACTGACCTTTTCCACTATCACATAAACATCTCGAGAACTTGCCATCTTTACTAAATACTTGTATACGATGATCTGTAACTAATATCTCATCACATTTACCCACGGTCACCGACGATATCAGTTTAAACTGACCGTCTCGTGTCCCTTTACTACCAAATGTTGTGATAAGATTTCCTGCCTGACCAAATATAAATATTTTGGCTGCACCGCTGTCGGCCACGATGACATCCCCACGACTGTTGACAGCCACATCGGTTGGTTCTATGAACTCGGTGGAGGTGAATTGTTTGACTAGATCCCCCTCCGGGTCAATTATCGATACATTCTTGTTTCTCCAATTAACAACAGCAATGTTGCCGTCATGAGTGAGACTTAGTCCCGTTGCACTTTGGTTTTCTAGCCCTTCTGGTCCTATATGACGATCGATTTGCCCATCAGGCTTCATGATTTTTATGCGACTGTTACCCGTATCCAAAACAAATATGAGACCATTTGGATTAGCAGCGATACGAACAGGCTGCATGAGATTTTCGTTTCCAGATCCTCTTGAACCTAGCTTCCAGACTGGATTTATATGATCACTTACGTCAATCATAAAGGGACTATTTTTGATGGGTCTCTTAAATATATTTACACTTAATTTGAGGCGTCCTGAGGCTGGTGGAACAAAAACTATATCATATGTACCGTTGTCATTGTCCTTGACTTTACTTTCAACTAAATTCCCTTTATCTGTTCGCAATTCTGCAGTGACAGGATCACTGCCTGTTAATCTGGGATTGCCATGGTAATCTACTGTCATGACTTGTGCCGTACAGCGTAAATGGGAGGTTGCTTCGCCAACTCGTGCTGTACATAGAGCAGGGAAAGTTGTACTGATCTTGATCTGACCAAATTTGGCAATGCTACTTTCGATTTGTTTCAGAGCATCATTATGCTTGTATTCATATTTAATAAATGAGTTCTCCCGTGGTTCCGCTAGATTACTGGTTGAATCCAATTTCTCATTCAAATCACTGATCTTTTTGGTTATGTTCCTGACTTCAACCTGATATTCTAAATTGCTACAATCCAACTGAACTTTGTCCTTTTCCCCGTGAATAAGGTCCAATTGTTCCTTAAGAACTGTTCTTTTATCCTCACGAATCTTTCGTACCAGTTGCAGGCATTCATGTCGACGTTTTTCAATAACTGCTATCACATCTTGAAAAGATCTATTAATTGAATCCAAAGTTCTATCCACAGATTGTTCCAAACATCGTAATTCATCCGATATATTTTCATAAGCTCCATTGAGATTCTTAATGCACAAATGTGCTTTGTATAGGAGAATTTCGGACATTCTTTTGATCGCAATCGCAAATGGAATCACAGTGTGTTCGCTAGCACCCCGCCCATTATGATTATTGTCTGTGCACAAGGTACAGAAAACGATATCACAAGTCTCACAAAACAATAGTTCTTGGTTAGAATGAATCGAACATTTTGGAACGACATCTCGACGCTGACTAGCCATTAGATCTAGTAACTGATTGACGAGAAAGCTTGGTGGGAAAGCCGAGACTCCACCCTGTGGTACGTGGATTGTTTCGCGACATATCGGACATCTAAAACTACCAGTGTCTAGTGGTTGTGCTGCTATAATCCGTTCTAAACAGTTTTTACATACAGTATGTGAACAAGGTAGAAGTTTAGGATTGTGTTCAATACTGTCATATAAACACAAACATGTTCCGCAGGTTAGGAAACTGTCATTAAAATCGTCATAATTAATAGAGACTGTCTCTACTAGGGTTGAGGACATCATACCTAAAAAAAAATAAAGATAAACAAATGAATATCTGCTATATCACATAATGCTTTATCCATGTTACTTTAAAAAGTCTAAATTAACCATAAGACTTTTATGTTGGGAATTTAGACTACATGTAGATCTTCTAGTTATTTTAACAAAACAGAATTAAAGAAGAAATTCATCATACATGTAATAACGCTCTTTAAGATGCCCAAGGCCATTCAAGACAACATTGGACAATATAACTATCTGCTACTGACACTCGACTTCAGAAATATAAATATAGTAGAAATCTAATAAATTGTAGATTATTGAACCATGAATACAACTGTCCTCTTTCCAAGATTTTACCTTTTACCTCAAGCAGCGCCTGTCAGGCAGATACATGTACGCACGCATTTTGCAGGAGATGGATAGAGAGAGAGAGAGAGAAATGGGGTTTAACGTCCACTCGACACAAACTAGGTCATTTCGGGACTAACATATGGTTTAATTTTATTTACATAATTCGCTTGTGCGTAGGGGTCTTTAGAAGTGGGAGGAAACCGGAGGACCCGGAGAAAACCCACAAGGTTGGACAGGCGACCCTACTCCTTGCCACGTACAACCGGGGATTCGAGAGATGGATAGAAGACAAGCTAAACAAAAAGAGATTATTCCTACAATGAAGGGCCATAATTCAGGAAGTTACGATCCGATATGCACGAATATCAACAGTAACCAAGATCTTTGGGTTATAAAGATATATTTCAAGTTTCAACAAAAACAGATCGAAATTGTGACTTCTAGAGGGTCCACAACCTTGATATACCATATATTTACACTGCCATTTGTCCGGCAGTTTTGGTCCTATTTTCACGAAATTCAAACGTCTTTTTTCAATCGGATAAAAATTGTGATCTCTAGAGGAACCACAAGGTAAAAACCCGATTTTTCGTACAATCAAGGGCCATAAATCAGGAAGTTACGACCCGATATGCACGAATAACAAAAGGAACAAAGATCTTTGTGATATAAAGTTATATTTGAAGTTTCATCAAAATCGGATCTAAATAATCTCCTCTAGAGGGTCCACAACTTTGTTATACCATATATTTACACTATTTGCATACGTGGGAGGGCCATTTTGTACAGCAGTGATTTTTCGTACAACCAAGGGCCATAATTCTGGAAGTTACTATCCGATATGCGCGAATATCGAAAAAAAACTAGATCTTTGGGTTATAAAAATTCATTTCAAGTTTCACCAAAATCAAATGAAAATTGTGACCTGTACAGTGTCCACAAGCTAAAAACGTGATTTTTCATACAATCAGGGGCCATAATCCATGAAGTTATGATTTGATTAATGCCAATATCGAAAGGAACCGAGATCTTTGGAAATAGACCTATATTTTAGGTTTTGTCAAAATCAAATAAAAATTGTGACCTGTACAGTGTCCACAAACAAATTGTGGACAGACGGACATAGACAGACAGGTGCGATGAAAATATACGTCCTCATGAAAATGTGGGTGTATATAAAAAAATATTTGCCTAATCTAAAATTACTAAATTTAACAAAATAATCTGAAACTGAACCCAGCCCTTTTAAAGAAGTGTGAAGGTAATATGTGTAAATAGTAATAAATACACAGTGTGTTTATATACACCATGTATGATGTTAAAGGCTCTATAATATATCGCAACAAGAAAGAGAAGAAAAAAATGTTGGCAGTCAGTTAATATTGTTCAGTCATGGGTGTACATGTATGTAAAACTAGTATTATTCATTTACACATAGCTATTGAAACCTACACCCAGTAGTGAGTGTACACTTGTATGAAATTGATTGTATCTAAGCAAACATGTTTTTCTTTGATGATGAGGTGCCTTATGTTGTTGTTAGCTTAAAACAAAAATACAATCTAAAAATGAATCATTTTAAAGTGATATTAGAATTTATTTCATATTCACATTGTCAGAATGTTGTATTTCAAATCAAATACTTGGTTATTTTGTTTCTACAAAATGTATGAAAACAATCCTGCTCAATGAAAGGGGCAATCCCAGAGGGTTTCAGTATGCAATTCAGCAAGTTTCAAATTAAAATACTGAGTCTTTCAGATTTTATATGAATGAGCTAGATTTGATTAATGAAATTAAATGGGGTTTAACATCCTACCTTTCTGCTTCAACCCGGCCAATGAAGATGGGCTTACGCCATACAGTGCGCTATGAGGGTAATTTTGCTTGGACAGCGGTGCTACGGCCTACTCTTTTTTTTTTTAATTCCAACTATTAAGGTTTTTTTTACCTGCAGATCCTGCACAACTGACAGAAGAAAACCAAGCAGGAAAATCCTGAGGAACTTTCTCAACCTACACTGGGATCAAAACCAGATCCTCCTGGTTAAGAAGCCAACATCTTACTCAGCTACATGTACCATGCCACTAAGTCCAAGATAGATTCAGCAAGAATACAGACACATTTCATTTATTTAGACAATAACATATTTAAGAATTTGGGGACTAATCAGACTTCACATGGAAACTGCAAGTTTGTGCTTCCTCAAAAACGATTCACAGTGTTGTAGATAATTGTAGGTTAAAGGTTTTTAAATTAAACAAGTTTTATTCCCTTAATATTTCTAAGACTGGAATTTTAAGACCAGCACAAAAATGTAATGTAGGTATGTAAATAGAGGAGAATTTTCCTGCAACAGCCTGATGATTCTTTATTGGTCACAAACACTTGATGTTTAAATAGCAATCTGATTAAAATACAGATCTGTATTTTGTTTTGTTTTCTTTTATACTTTCGATGGCCTCTACTACATAAGATCTGAGCAGTTGTAGTGGAAGGTCGCATCGGTGGTCATACGAACAGCTTTTGACCCTATGGAGAGACATTCGATTAACTAATCAACGTTGATGTTTCTAGTGGGTAACCCAAAATTCAGTGCTCCTCACGCCTAAAGCTCGACTTAACAGACCGTTTCTTTGGCTGACCCCTCACATCATCCAGAACATGGGTTATATAACAACTCTTCCAGATCCTAGTGTAGTAAAGACAAAACAAAATTTTGAACTATAAAAAAAACCCCAAAAAACGAAATAGAATCTGTATTTTAATAAGATTGTTTAAGTAGCAATGAAGCTTGCTTTGTCAGAGTGAAAGTTTAACAGGTAATCTCCACTGGCCCCAACATTATCTTTTACCCAATAGTATTGAAGAGTGTCAAGCATGATGCAGGGAATCTAACTTTATAACTACAATGGTGTTGACAGTGATATCATTGTCAAACTTTCTTATATGAGTTGCCATGGCCCACAAATTTATGTTATATCTGTCGATCAGAGAGACACACATCGACCACAGGCACTTCAATGGATAAAAATAAAACTTCTTACTACTCTTTGACTATATATTACTGTAATATATAGTCAAAGAGTAGTAAGAAGTTTTATTTTAATCCCTTCAAGTGCCTGTGACATTGACATAGCAAACAAACTATGCATAATCAAGAAACTGTCTGGTGCACACTGGAAAACTACTGACAAATAACATAGATGTGTGTTAGATTTCAGATAAGAATCAAGCAATGCATGTGGCTTCAACACTGGAAATAATTTATGTTTCTACACATAGTTAAATTTTTCATGAAAACTATGCATATACTCCCTTGAAAGTCGAGATCAAACGCATTCAATTAATCAGAGAACAGACAATGATATGAATAATGAATTGATCAATTACATGATGAACAATGACCAAATGCGCTATAATCAAAACAAGAACCCAAAATAGGCCATAATTTATCATCAATTTTATTGTTTAACTTGTATATCAATACTGTACATCAATAATATAATTAACAATGTTGAAAACCTTTATGTGAATCTAAAGAAAATGTTTATATTTGCACTATCAAAGGTTCTGTTCACCCCTAATGGGTTGGCTTAATTATAGTTTTTATACTAAGTAGTAGAAAAACTATTGTTTTTGTTTGGATTATTATTTTTTATTCCTCGCTTTTTGGAAAAAGTACATGTTCTACAGAATTAAACTCTATACTATCAGAAAGGTATTTAGTTCAAAAGGTGAATGAAAAACTAAAACTTTAAAAATCATAACAGGAAGTGCATATTCTGAAAGTTTTATCAAAATCAGTTTAGAAACAAAGGTTCTGTGCACAGAGAACAGGGGAAATTACTAATGTTGAAATTTACCTGTTGCAGGTAATATTGACGTTCGGGTTATACTTATGGAAAGGATATGTTGACATAATTACTTGCATTATTTAAAAAACAATTGATGCTTTTCTGGTGACCTTTAAAATATGTTTATATCCGGAAGATTTAGGTTCCTGAAGATTCACGCATATTATGGATTATACCCACTAATTGTACACAAAATCGTTTCTTTTTATGAGCTTGTTTTCTGTCCATCTCTTGCAAAATGCGGGCTTATCTTACATGGCAACCGCTTGTTTAAAAAAATGTCAAACTTTGAAATCGGGTAAAATGTTGATGGTAAACAATTAACTAAGACTTTTGGTGCTTATTCTGAAAGTTTTACCACAATCAGTCTGTAATCATACATGTAGAATTATGTGCAATTTTTTTTTTTTATAAAAAAAAACAGGAAATTTTGCTTCATGAAATGTTTTTGCTACATGATGTAAGATAGAGACTTTTTGACAGATTTTAATAATCCTTTTTTTCTTTAAGATTCTTGAAAAAAAACCAAAACAGGACAACAAAACATATTAATCTACTAGATGTTGAAATTAATGTACATGTATACGTGTATGACTGGGTTGTATAAATACTATTCTTTCTAACTTCTTTTATGTTTTAAAATTTCAGTTAATCTACTAGGCAAGTTTGATGCCAAAAAACAGCTAGGTTGCCAGTCAATGAAACATACGCCCACAGCAGCCAAATTGTCTAAGCAGTTGACAAGGGTTATCTCATATTTATTATTTTGTGGGAATGAATAATGCACAGATATAAATTTAATACCAATCGGA